TAAGTCGACTCGCATTTCCCAGTCCCTGGCTATATTCAGCTGGCCTGTGTCAGGGGACAAGCACTTAGCCCACTTTTTCTCCCCTTCCCTAATAAAGGACTGCCTTTTTGGTAAGGTATTCTTGGCATTTTGGGGGATGGCGTTTGTTGACACTCTCTTGGTCTCTATTGCTGCCGTCAAGCACTTCAGAACTTGATTGTGGCACCATGTGTACCTTCCCTGTGTCAGGCTGGTCTTACAACACACCAGGATATGTCTGAGGTTTGCCGGGGCTGCACACAGGTGGCAGGCTGGGTCTTGTCCACACCATACCTGCAATTTTGTTGGAGAGGGCAGCACATCATATGTGGCTTTCATAATAAAACTTAGCCTGTTTACTTTACACTATTCTATACATTCCCACCTCATCCAGCGGCCTTGTTGGGCTTAGGAGACTGCTCTAGCGCATCTAGTTGCTTCCTCCTGACGGCGTACCTCCTCCACTACCAGGTGTCGCTGTTCCTTTGCTGTTGCCTTTTGCCATTTAGGTGTTATTATTCCCAACCCAAGTCCCCCTCTACCATATTGGACTTGTCCCACAATATCCCGGTGTCTGAGGGCTACCTTTGCATCAGCAACTGCTGTAACCAGATTCGATTTCCTCCCTGTCACCAATGTTGATGCAGCATCTCTTGCGCAGGGATCGTGGGATTCTTTAAGCGTCATCTCCGGCCTCGTTTTGGCGCATTTGTACTCCTCCACAAGGCTTGAAATAGGAAGAGAGAGAGCTGCATTGCCGTACAGCCCTATGCTGCTAAAATATCTTGGTAGCCCAATCCATTTCCTCAATTGTGTACTCACCAGTCTCTCCAGGTGTTTGGCGTGAGATAAAGTGAGCTCGTATATGGAAATTGGCCACATAAGCCGTGGCAACAAACCAAATTGGAAGCACCACAGCTTCAACTTCCCCAGAAGAGCTGTACCATTGATCCTCTTGAGTCCACTGACTGTCTCTTGCATGAGTTGTTCCACCTGTTTTGAGTCTTTAAGGTCTGTGGTGTACCAACGCCCAAGACTTTTGATGGGCTTTTCCATGACCGTTGGTATGGGCTCTCCCGCTATACAGAACCTGTCATTAGTAAGTCGGCCTTTGACAATGGAGATGCTGCGAGATTTTCCG